CCCCGCCCTCCGCGACCCCCCTACTCTCGGGAACCCCGCCTCCCGTGTCCGCCCACCTCGGGAGCCCCGCCCTCCGCACGTCCCCCCTTGCGACCCCCTCGCGGCTCCCTGGTCCTGCGGATCTGCTCTCTGCTGGGTCCCCATGGTACCCCCACTTTTCGCGGCTCCCCTTGGCCAGCTCAGGAGGTGGCTGGCGGGTCCCCAAGTCCGCGCCTGGCGGTCTGACACGATTGCTGGTGGTGACCGCCATAGCGCCACGTGGTCACTTGTTTGACAAAGGAAACTTTTTTCTCGCTCTGATGTGCCTAAGAAAGCCCGGCAATTCTGGACCGAGCCACCGGCCGCCCTGTTCCTACTCTGTCCCTTTCCCCGATGAGCCGTCGCCTTCGCTTTCTTTGCGCCGTCCCAAGGCCTGCGCCAAGGTCCTGGCGCCCCGAGCTGACAGCAGGGGTGGGCTCCGGGCAGCGCGGGCGCCGAAGGGATGAGCTGGGAAGACTGGACCAGTGTCGGGAGTGTTGAAAAAAAAGCCAGTTGCCGCGCCTCCTAAAGAGACCGAGGAGTAAAACGAAGGGCCAGGTAGCTCATCATGACTTTCCCTAAATAAGGGAGTTTGGAACTGCAGGACAGCCGGCGGGCCGGCGCACCTATACTTGGTTTTGCTTTCGCAAGTGAAGAGGTTTTCCCCAAGCCCTGCCGCGTGGCCTTCGCTTTCTCCTAGATTTCTCTTGGAATCTCAGAAATCACAAGAACTCTCGGCAACTCGATGTTTGGGGGGAAAAAAAAAAAAAACTCAAGAGCGGCAGAAAGTTTTCATAGCCGGGCAGAGGAGGCATCTCAACAGTGGGGGCCAGGTTTGCCGTTTTGAAGTGTGTCCAGAGCGCAGCGACTAAAATTATACAGAGCCCTCATCTGCTCTAGTCTCTGACTGATTTGAGCAAGACTGTAACAGGTCTCAGATGAGAATTAAATGTCCACGTTTAAAACAAAAAACTGCTCATCGGCTGTGACTTAGGGTCTTTGCCCCTGAAGCAACACTTGGATCATTCCGAAACTTGTATACTGTTATAAATCAATGTTCCCACATACACAAAAATAATAAAACACTTGGATAATTCTGAACGCAGTCATAGAAATAGCTTGCAACATTCTGTTTTAAATGTGAGATGGTCTTATCTTCTGGCCCAGAATTCCTAAGAAAATATTTTTAGAATGTCATGAATGCAACAAGCTCTGCAATAAAAGATAGTGCTATCAACAATGTTATCAGCGTAATATATTGAAAAGCCACCAAATAATGTAGCCTGTGGGGGTTTTTTTGGGGGGGAGGTAATTAGGTTTAGTTATCTATTTTTTTTCTTGGATGTGCTGGGGATTGAACCCAGAAACTTGTAAATGCTAGGTATACACTCTACCACTGAGCTATACCCTCCCCCTCAAGTAAGGTGTCCTGGATCACACAGTATGTGAAGGATCATTTGTGAAGCCAGGAGGTTGAGGGTTTTGGTACTATCCTGTCTCTAAGTTGATGCTATACAGGCTACCTTGAATTGCACTTTCTCCCCTCTAACCCTTGTTTAATAAAGTGGATGATGTTTAAAGTTGTATTTTTGAAATTTAATTAGCATCTCTGAGGTTGCTATGAAATTCACCTAGGAAGCCTTCTGTGCTGTTAGAAACTTGGTCCCATGTGGTTTTCACAGCAAAATAAACATTGCTTGCAAAAAAAATCACAACCCGATTAAGTGTTTCAGATCAAATATAATTTATTGCCCAAGAAGTCATAATATAAATATAATATGAGATAAATCAGGGACATGATCCGGGTGAAAAGAAAGAAAATTTCTTCCAGATTTTAAGAGGAAATTGAGGGGAATTAAAAGACTCTAACAAGTGACTTCGCTGAAATTTGGACATAGGTAGATAGATGGATAGACAGATATAAATTCAGTCCAGAGAAGAAATAAAGATAACCAAATTCCAAGTATGTACTAAGGTAAACAGTGGGATGCTTCCAGTGTTGAGCAGCTTCTCTGCAAGAATTGGGGTGGAGGCCTCGTCCTTTGTGGATCTGGTTTACTCAGTGGACTCTTCACAAAATGTAGAGCCGAGCAAATGGTCCCTAACTCTCTGAAATGCCTTAAAATCTTGCAGTGGTCCAAAGAGCAGTCCTTTAATAATCAACGTCTCATTGAGGCATTTGCACTTCCCGCTAAGTACCAAGGGGAGAGGTAGGAAGGGTGTGAACACGGAGAGAATACAGTTATTTTTACTAGATCTGTGGGCGATGGGCGATCAGTATTCCAAGCAAGGTCAGCTCTTCAGGACCTTAAGGTACTGTTTGTTCCTGGAGTGCCTTTCTTAGAAATTATGGAGACACCGAACAAGTGCTTTAACTAAGGATTAAACTTACTGTCTTGACTGTGGGGTTCTTCCTCGGCAAGGACCGTTTTCAGCTATTTTTCTCAGACAAGTTCTGTAGTCCCCACCAGCATGTAAACACCACAGCAGGGGGAAACTTGTCTGTCTTGTTTACTCTAGGGAACAACAGTGCCTGATTCAAAGTCAGGGCACAATGACTATTTGTCAAACGAATTATGAATGAATAAATGAAGAACGAATGAACATTATTACAGAGTTCGCATTATTATCCCCTTTTCACAGGTGAGAATACTGAGTCATAAGGAAAAAACTCATCACCCCTCATAGTTGGGGATGGAGCTGAGATTCACAGGGGTTCCTTTGCTCTTTGTTAAATCTCTAACCTTAGATAAATGTGTCTATGGTTAATTACTGGATTGTTAATAATAAACTGGGTTTATGGCTGCAGTTTATTAAAGCTTCTAAATTACTCATTAGTGAAACAGCACTAATTTTTTCAGCATAATAACTGAATAGCCAAGATGATGACCAGTGTTTCCATTACACGTCTGACATCTTGGCTAACAGTTGCAGCCCTGAAACTCATCTTCCTAGGTCAGCCCCTCTTTTTAAAAACCTATTGACAGACACACAAAGAGCAAGGCCATCCCCTAGGGCTGAAGGTCGCCCTGGGGCAACTCTGGGAGACCGGGGGCTGACAAGATTTAACGGCTTTGGGGAAAAGCCGAGCAGCAATGAAGTAGGGAGCCCCTGGCCACCACAGAGGTGCTAACAAGCTGGCGAAGCCTCTTCATTTTTGAGCTGGGGACAACTGTACCAACCTTCTTGGGTAGCATGTCAAAGAGAGAGGATGACACGTGAAAGGTCCTTTGTCCCCCATGCTAGTGAAGCCAGCCCTCTGACCTGGAGTCCACCTGGCTGGCGTGTGCTGTACCTGTCATGGTCCCCGGGAGGTAGGTCCCCCTGGTGGTCATGTGTGGTATTTCAGGACTTGGGTCTTAGTTGAAGACAAGGGCATGCTCCCTCCTCTTCCTGTCAGGGCTCCCCCTCCAGTGCCTACATCACAGCGGACTGTCAAGTAGGCTCTTAGTACAAAGGTCCAGTGAATGAGTTCATTGTCCCAAATGAATCATTTTTGAGCCCACCCTCCCCAGGACGACCCCACCAGGTCATGAGAAACCACAGGGCAAGCATTCTAGTCCTGCTCCTAAGAGCCAAGTCTAACATTTTGCGAGCTGGTTATTGACTGTGGCGGTGAAATTCCAGGCACGGTGGCAAACGTGACAGTTTGGAGAAGGGGAGTCTTTCGGGTGACATGGCAGGCAGTTGTCTGGTAGATGAAGCCGGCCGTCCTTACAGATGCTTTCGGCGTGGATGCAGGCAGGCTCCCTGAGGACGATGATTCATTCCTGCATCTGTTACTGGTTATTCCAGATGCTGCCCTGAGAGAGGACTGTTCTCTTCTTTCCTCCCACACCCAGAAAAAACAGGCGTGGAAGAGAGCCCGCCTGGTGATTTTAGGAGAGCGGCTCCCTGCTTCATTGGAGGGCACTGTCCATGACCAAGACAAAAAGGGAGGAGGCAAGAAGGAAGAGACCAGGAGGTGTTTTACGAACCTACTGTTGGCAGGAAATGTGCTGAGAATGTTTTGAGGAGTTGGGTCATTTTTCCAGTTGGAGGGAGAGTTTTCACTGAGACAACCATGGTCTGTCACCAGGTCCAGACAGGTGTGAAGCACTCCTGGTGCTCACAGGGACAGAACCGTCTTCCCTGGGAAAATCCCACGTGATCCACGAGAGGCTCAAAACTGCGTCCTTTCCTCTGTCAACGTCAGACTTTGCGTAGCAAAGGCAATTAGCTTAAGTGCTCTGTGAAAAATGCTGAAAGGCTTCTTGAAAACAGCAAGAAGAATCTACCTGAAGTTTTACACTTAGAAAAGCCTCTGAGATTTTTAGTCCTCTGTAAGACTACAAAGAAGTCTAGAAGCAATTGTTCACTTTTTTTCCCCTTCCCTTGAAATTCCCACCTCACTATCTCCAAATGTAGAAAACCCATCCTTAAGACCTAGCACCAGTGAAGTTCTCAGGATCACCCACACCCAAAAGAAGGTAGGTAGGCACGGAAGAGACAGTTTGCTCCTTTGTAATTAACCTCAGATAGATTTTGGTATCCTGGGAAGAACAATGCTGACATATTTGGCGTTATACCTGTGTGTTGTGGATCGTGTGTCAGATTCACATGGTGAAGCTCTCGTCCCCAATGTAATGATATCTGGGGGTTGCCTGGGTCCTGAGAAGAAGCTACAAGAGAGCTTGGCTCTCTCCCTGCTCCCGTGAGGAGGTGGCCAGCTGCAAAGCAGGAAAGAGGCAGACACCGGATCTGCTGGCATCTCAATCGGGCTT